GTCAAATTCATGTTGGTTGCTTCGCAGACACTGTCCAGCCATCTCATCCTCGGTCGTCCCCTTCTCCTCTTGCCATCACGCCATCCTAGCAACCAGATAAAGACTGAGAGCTAGGCAGTCGAAAACAGCATGTGAAATTTTTTTCACAGACATTGATTCTAAATGGATGCCATTAAGACAATTATATGACTACATAAACCATTCTAAGAAACACACAATAGCTTCAAAAACACATATCATTACAGCATCCAATGCCAGAAGCAGCAAAGCAACCCCCAACACATCTTTGAATCTCCACCATGTTTGACTGTAGGGACTGTGCTCTTTTATTTGAATGCCTCATTTCTATTTCTGTAAACAGCACCATGATGTCCTTGACCAAAAAGCTCTACTTTTGACTCATCTGTCCCAATATGTTCTCCCAGAAGGATTGTGGTTTTGTCACATAAGTTTTGCCATACTCCAGTCTTGCTTTTTTATGCCTTTGTGTCAGCAGTGGTGTCCTCCTGAGTCTTCTTCCATAGTATAACTTCTCATTCAGATGACGGCGGATAGTACAATCTGATACTGTTGTACCCTGAGTCTGCAAATCAGCTTGGATTTGTTTGGAAGTTAATCAGGGTTTTGTATCCACCATTCAAAACAGCCCTTCGCTGTAATTTTTCAATAATTTTGCTCTTCTGTCCACATCCAGATAGGTTAGCTACAGTGCCATGCGTTGTAAACTTCTTGATGATATTGCGCACAGTGGACACAGGAACATTAGGATCTCTGGAGATGAACTTCTAGCCTTGAGATTGTCAATGTTTTTCCACAATTTTTTCTCTCAAATCCAGCCAACTCTTTACACATACAACACAAAGGTTGAGTCAACTTTTCTCCATCTTAACTGGTTGCAAGTGTGATTACTATATTGCCCACACTTCTTACTTGTGATAGGTGTGTCTAAATACAAATTAAATGAGCATCACATGCTTACAATTTAGATAGGGTGTCAATAATTTTGGCCAGTGCATTTTGGGGTTTCTGGGTGGGATTGTATCACATTTGACTTTTCTTGTTTTTCTTTTTTGATGTTGTTCCAACGCTAACCAAAGAAATGAATATGTGAGTATCAAAACATTTGCAACTGCAACAATTTTCTGAGAGAGGATTGCATTTTCTGACAGATTTGCAAGGGTGCCAATATTTTTGGCCATGACTGTACGTTCTGAAGTAATGCTGGTTCTCAAACTATCTTCAAATGCAGTTGTATCTTTGACATGAATAACTGTAACCTAGTCATTCCTTCCTAGGAAACACCACAGTTGCATTAACTGCCTTCAGAAGTAAAGATAATTCCATGCTAAACCAAGCTATGAAGGAGCATGCATGAAGGAAACACAGCCACCAAGGCGGAATGCACCTTCATCCACTTCAGGATAACAATTTTCTTGATAAACCTCAAAACCATAGAACTTCTTGGGAACAAGCTTCAACTTAGTGGCTCTTGCCCAGGCCAAATTCAATACTTCACCTACCTCATAAACTAAACAAAAAATAGAGAATTCCCTAGAATACTAATGATACTAAATACTAGACCTCAATTCCTTGGATAATTTCTCCTTGCAGCTTTATATTAATGTTAAAATATGTTAACAAACTACCGTTCCAGGCCAAGGTGTTGTAAGCCCTTCTCCCACCTTACCTCTATGTCTGCAGTTTTCAAATCACAATGCTGCTATGACATAATATAGTGGTTTATAGTATCAATGAAAATATTTCTCATCAGCAAAACAAAGCCTAAGTCTGAAAAGCCAACAGAATCTGCTAAAACCACCTCAATCAAGAGACAGTCTGATTTTTGAGACTAATAAGCAATTATTAGACATCTTGGGATCTAATTATACCATTTCGAGTTACGACCAGCTCCAGCCGCAAATTTTGCTTCGACTTGCAGCCAGAGCTTCGAGTTGTAAACAGAAAAGAGGAAGGGGAAAAGGCAGGGAATTCAAATGTAGGTACTAACTGTTGGTCGGCGAAGAGCTTCTTTGTAGCTCTTTCACCCCAACGGTTAGAGAGTGTGCATTGGAAGAGGCTTGCGACTGCCTGGTGCTTTCTGCTCCTAAGTACAGTGGTGCCTCGCTTAATGAGCACCTTGGTTAAGGATGAATCCACATAGTGACGTGTGAAGGGGAAAAGGCAGGGAATTCAAATGTAGGTACTAACTGTTGGTCGGCGAAGAGCTTCTTTGTAGCTCTTTCACCCCAACGGTTAGAGAGTGTGCATTGGAAGAGGCTTGCGACTGCCTGGTGCTTTCTGCTCCTAAGTACAGTGGTGCCTCGCTTAATGAGCACCTTGGTTAAGGATGAATCCACATAGTGAC